TGCATCATTCAACATTCACTGCAAAACAAAGTTATTTTTTAGTTATTTATCCTATACACAGAATTGTGGAAAAACACATTCAAACAAAGGCCTTTATTTTGTTCTTCGCTGCTTTATCCTCTATATGCCTAAACAAAGGCAACGTTGATCGAGATGTTTCCTACAAGCCGTATATTGTAGGAAAATAAAAACTGTCTTAAAAGTTTGACTTTAATGCTCACAGTAAATCTGATCAAATGCTTTAGTGAATATATCAGTTTATATAGCCTACTTAAAATGCACCCCAGGGCTCCACCTACTGGACTTAAGTTTTTTGTGAAATTTTGAAGCCACAGTCTGTCCCACCCAGAAATCTCACTGATCAAATATAACAAACACGTGGTATGAGCAGCACAGAGGAGCAGAATATAGAGGCTTAAGTTTTCATTCAGGTGATATGTGAGGAGAAATCACAGTATTTCTCAGTAGATTCAGTACTGATGATAAAAAATAAATGTTATTACAAAGTGAATGATTTGATTTTTATTATGTTTTAACTGACATGCACATAAACACATCTGTCCAAATACAACATGAAAAACAGAGTAAAAAGAAAAGCAAAAGGAAAAATACCCAACAAACATATTAAATATAGCACAGGACTTGACAGACAAATGTAAAATGTAATTAAAATATATATGAATTTGATTTAGCTCAAACAAGATGTTTTATTCTATCATCTGGATAATAACACTGCACGTTACATAACTTTTGAAATTTGTGTCATAGACATTTGATTATTGCAGGTACTACTATTATAGATGTTTTGATATAAATGTGACATCCTTGTTAATTATTTGAGTAATGCAATTTTACCTTTTACTGTTTTTTACTGCAACCCTGCCAAGTTCAGAAGCTATATTGTACATCTTACTTCACTGACCTGAGAGCTTCAGATGTAGATTTTATGGCAAACAATATAATACGTTTACAAAATAATATGCCTTGACAAAGTGAGTCAGAGGCTCCCGACAACATTTTTGACAGAGAGCCAATGTTGTAGCCCCTTGTGGTGTGTTGTTTGCAACTGCAACAAAGAGACATTTTCCATCTAAACTTGGTTTTTAATTTAAATGACCATCTAATGTAAAACTCAACAATATAAGAATGCAAAGGTTAGAAAAAAATAGTCTTTCCTTTTTATTTTTTCTTCTTCCCTCACTTATGAATCATTTCACAACTCTCCAGATTTATCCAGGGACCTTTTAGGGTTGTTCGGCACTTGGGTTGGAAACCACTGAGCTAAACTACAGAAAAAAATACAAAGTAATCAAAAAAGCTCTATTTCAAGCAAGTAAAACACTAAAAT